ATATGGGGGATGAATTACTATATGGGGGATGTATTACTACATGGGGGATGTATTACTATATGGGGGATGTATTACTATGAATGAATTACTATATGGGGGATGAATTACTATGGGGGATGAATTACTATATGGGGGATGAATTACTATATGGGGAAGGAATTACTATAGGGGGGATGAATTACTATATGGGGGATGAATTACTATATGGGGGATGAATTACTATATGGGGGATGAATTACTATATGGGGGATGAATTACTATGAGGGATGAATTACTATGGGGGATGAATTACTATATGGGGGATGAATTACTATGGGGGATGAATTACTATATGGGGGATGAATTACTATGGGGGATGAATTACTATATGGGGGATGAATTACTATGGGGGATGAATTACTATGGGGGATGAATTACTATGGGGGATGAATTTTCATACCGTTTGTTACAACATATCTTTGCGAGCAATCCTTTTCGAGGATGCTGGACATAAAGACGAAGAAAAGGAACAGACTTTGTTGCGAAAATGACATGAGAGTGGCACTTGCCAAGGTAATGCCGCGCATTTCTGAACTGGCCACTGAAAGACAACAGCAGAAGTCACACTGATTTGCGGTAAATATTCATTATTTTGTTTTTGTGTGAAAATCATGTTTTAATGGTTTTGTTCTTTGTTCTTAATGGTTTTGTTCATTTTGTGCACCTATGTATAAATATATACCTATGTTTTGAATTTTAAAAATCATATTTTATTTTTCCAATTAAGAAGGGTTCGGTGAATGCGCATATGAAACTGGTGGGGTTCAGTACCTCCAAAAAGGTTAAGAACCACTGCTCCAGTCCTTTGAAGTGTAAGAAGATTGTGAGCTTCCTAATCCCTATCTCTGTGAAGAATTAACACTGACTGGAGGAACATAGGAAAAATGGGGAGGGACCAGCTACGGCTAAACTTACTAGCACTACACAGAAGGGGAGTACAGAGGGAGAAACTAAAATCACATAGTAAACAAGTTGTAGAGGCCCAAAACTGCCACTAGATGGTGTCAGGAATGGACTCGCCAATGGTGGTGGGACTCACCTGCCTTATGGGCTGCAGTACCAGGGCTGCCCAGTGGGTGCTCTCGGCAGCCAGAAGTTCACTCCTGCAATCAAGCCATCACCTGAGGCTGATTGCAGGAGGTGTATTTAAGGAATGGCCAGGCCTGCAGTCAGTTCCTTGGTGTTCCCATGAGCCCCTGTATCTGCATCCTGTCTGCTTCCTGCCTGATCCTGACTCTGCTTGAACTCTGCCTGTACCGACCTCGACTACTCCTGACCAATCTTCTGCCTGCTCCTTGTACCTTGTCTGCCCGTTAGGTACCGACCCGGCCCGCCTGACTACGTTGTTCTCCATATTTATATATATATATTTCAGGTTTGGGTTTGTTGCACCTTGTTGTACGTATTTGTGTTAGTTTTGGGTTTGGTTTGTTGCACTGCATTTATGTTTGTGTTGCCCTTAATAAATTATATTGTTTACACGCTATACCTGAAGTCTGTGTTTCCCTGTGTCGGTCCACACACCTCTGGTCATACCCGGAGCCCTGACAGATGGTAGTGCATACTGAACAATAAAAACCTGATGCAAATCAATACAACACATAAAAAATAGGTTTAAATGGAACAGAAAATGTCTAAGTCCAAGAAGCCCTGAGCCCTGTGTTCAGCGTGTTGGCCTGTGCCTTCACCAGTGCCTGTACCTTTATGGAGGGGTGGACATACCTGCCCTTAATCTATTCATTTTTACATATGTGCTCCAGCTTGGAAGGATCTCAGAATTATAGTTAGGACTGCAGTACAATGGGGTGCCGTGACGTGGCCACTGCAGCTTATGCATGTATTTGCAAATGTGTGCAAACTAAACCCTTTGGTTTTAATGTGAACTGTTAGGGTAATTCGGTTTTGTTGCAGGCTGGCTGGTAAGTGAGCTGGGAATTTCTGTTTGTTTTGGACTGCTGGGACCTGCATCTTGATTCCACCACCATGGACTTGCCAAGAATGGAGTCTTACCTGTGCAGGTATGCTGGGGCAGCCGCCGTAGTTAGGTCAGCTAGGGAAAGATTGGGGCCTATTTTGAACTGTAGTGCTGAGTTCTATCAGTAAAGTATTGAGACATTTCAATGGCTGGTCTAAAGATATTCAAGAGGTGAAAGAAAGTAATCGGCACACTACAGCTTGGGTCAGTAAAGCACATTGGGGTATGAAGACAGCTCCTCGAGAGTTACCACGTGGTTACCAAGGGTAACGGACGTCTAGCAGCCTGTTGTGAAGCGTGGTACTGGTGATAGGTGGGATGTCCTCTAGCAGCGAGGGTGAGCTTCGGCCCCTCTCCCCGAGCGCTCTGTCTTCTATAGTAATGGGAGCAGATCAGCAAAGCAGAGGCCCTCAGCCAGCCACTAGGAATGGAAGAGGGAGAGTTCATTAAGTGCTCGCATGAGGTCCTGGCTAGCTGGGCCCCGTTCTGTCGCTGGGAATGAGGTAACAGAGATACACTGGATGGGTGGAGCTGACATAGGCTCAGAATTGGTTAAGGTGTGCAATGGGAATGGAGAGGTAACTGGAGTCCAGTTTATTGCTCAGTGTACATGGCCATCTCTAAGTTGGGGGACTGCCTTAAGACTGTTATCCCTAAAAGTGGCCTCCACCTTGTCCCAGGGAAATGATGAGCATGACACAGCGAAGGTATTCCATGTGTAGGGTGAGTGACCCTGTCCAAGGTGCCTATCGTCGCCCCGAAGAACCGACCCTGGGGTAGGCCTCTTATGTTTGTAGTGCTGCTCTGGATAGCAAGGGGGAGCTAGTTACTTTCTTTTTTTTTTTTAGTTAGAGTAGGCTACCCAGCCTGGGGAAATAGTCAACAGGGTCCATTTTAGGTCAGGGCTGAGAGGCACTGCAGGTCAGTTCCTGATACCTCGCCCTACTCTAGAATCTTGGAGAAGATTCTAGAAGCAGTGGGCGGGGGTGAGGAGGAGCTGGCCTGCACACTTAGAGGACCTTGGACAATCCCCAAGGAGAAGGCTTGACATGGGGCCGGGCACACTCTAAGTGTGACTGAGCCTGCTCATCAGCGGGAGGGTTCGGGTGGAAGATGTGATGCAGGAGCCTGGGAGGGGGCCCAAGTTTGAAGGCGCCAGCTAAAGGGAGAGGGCATTCTGGTGGGAAACCTGACTATGTACCTGGGACTGTTTAACTTACAGTGGCAGGCACTGGATCCCCTTGCCCAGGCATTCAGACAGCTGGGCAAGGAAGATTATCTGGGGTCTGGGGTGATACACCAGGAGAGGCTGAAGAACTCTTCCAGAAGAGAATTCCCTATCTTGGACTTGTGTATAGTTGCCAGGAAGTTGCCCTCAGTCTACTGTTCCTTGGACATCCCATACACCCCTCACCCCATCCAAGTTCAATACCCTTAATAAAACCTAAAAAAAAAAAAAAAAAAAAAAACAAGCTTAAAGTGGATCTCCACCCAAAAGGGAAGTTCCTCTTTAAGGCTTTGTCCCCCCCGCTCCCCATTAAGGATCGGCACCTTTGGAAAGCGGGGGGGGGGGGGGGAGTGGGTACTCGAATTTCACTGGTACCCGTTCCCACATCCGGTGCGATCGCCTCAGGTGATTGGAAGCAGAGGTTGTCCTCCTGCCTCCCTCCCGTGACAGGTCCCAGAAGACTACGGGACCATTCACAAAGTGCAGCTCTGCTTGGGCACCCGGCTGTGAAGCCGCAAGCTATCCCAGCCGGGTGCCCATACTGAAGATGCCGGCGCCAGGGAGAGAAGACGGCCAGTGAAACCAGCCTTGGTGAGGACACCGCTGGACCGAGGGACAGGTAAGTGTCTGTATCTTTAAAGTCAGCAGCTACAGTTTTTGTAGTTTTTGACTTTATATTTTAATGCAACTGAAACTCCACTTTAAGGATGTTTAGTGTCTCCAGAATGCAAGTCTGTGGAAAACGCGTCTTGCCTGGCTGTGCAGGACTATAGGGGGACCCAAAATTTCAGCAACTCCTAAGGGGGTAGTGGTACATGTTCCCTCCAACAAGGAGGGGAACATGGAGGAAGTCCCACCTACCTACCCTTACAAGCCAGCACTGACAGTTGGCACCTGACTTCCAGTATTATTATTATACAGGATTTATGGCGCCAATAGTTTGCTCAACGCTTTACAATATAACGGGAGACAATACAATAACAATACAGTTCAATACAAGAGGGATAGGAGGGCCCTGATCCTGGGAGCTTACCATCTAAGAGGGAGGGGCTGGTGGTACAAAAGGTAATAACTGTGGGGGATGGACTGGTAGGAGGAATAGAAGATTCTGTTATTAGCTGAAGGGCAGGATAGGCTTCCCTGAGATAGATTTTCAGAGATCGCCTAAAAGCAGGCAGAGTAGGTGATAGATTGGGGTAGAGAGTTCCAGAGGATGGGGGAGGCTCTTGATAAGTCCTGGAGATGAGTATGGGAGGAGGAGACAAGGGAGCTAGAGAGCAGGAGGTTGTGGGAGGAGCGGAGAGGATGGTTTGGGTGATATTTGGAAACAAGATTGGTGATGTAATTCGGGGCGGAGTTATAAATGGCTTTATATGTTATTGTTAATGTTTTGAATTTTATTCGTTGGGCAATGGGAAGCCAGTGGAGGGATTGGCAGAGAGGGATGGAGGACACTGAGTGGAGGCCAGTGGAGGGATTGGCAGAGAGAGGAGTGGAGCGAGGACACTGAGTGGAGGCCAGTGGACACTGATTGGCAGAGTGGGGAGGGCCAGGGATGGAGGACACTGATGGAGGCCAGAGGCAGAGAGGGGTGGAGGACACTGAGTGGAGGCCAGTGGAGGGATTGGCAGAGAGGGATTGGAGGACACTGAGTGGAGGCCAGTGGAGGGATTGGCAGAGAGGGGTGGAGGACACTGAGTGGAGGCCAGTTGAGGGATTGGCAGAGAGGGATGGAGGACACTGAGTGGAGGCCAGTGGAGGGATTGGCAGAGAGGGGTGGAGGACACTGAGTGGAGGTCAGTGGAGGGATTGGCAGAGAGGGGTGGAGGACACTGAGTGGAGGCCAGTGGAGGGATTGGCAGAGAGAGATGGCAGATACAGAACGGTTGTAAGGTGGATGAGTCTGGCAGGGATTCATGATAGAATGAAGAGGGGATAAAGGATGCACTGAGGTTGGGCCAATGAGGAGGGAGTTACAATAGTCAAGATGAGATATAGGCCGGGGAGGGGTAAGTTGCTTACTGGTTTACGAGGTTAGGAATGGGTGTATCTTGGACATGTTGCGGAGGTTGGAGATGTTGCGGAGGTTGGAGATGTTGCGGAGGTTGGAGATGTTGGGGATTGGAGATGTTGCGGAGGTTGGAGATGTTGGGGAGGTTGGAGATGTTGCGGAGGTTGGAGGTGGTGCGGAGGTTGGAGGTGGGTGGGGGGGGGAGGGTTTGGGAGGGGATGGAGATATAGTTGCAGGGGAATAAGTGGAGATGTTGGGGAGGTTTTGGAGGGTTGGGGGATGGGTGTTCTGGAGATGTTGCGGAGGTTGGAGATGTTGGGGAGGTTGGAGGTGTTGCGGAGGGAGGGTGGCGGAGGTTGGAGATGTTGCGGAGGTTGGAGATGTTGCGGAGGTTGGAGATGTTGGGGAGGTTGGAGATGTTGGGGAGGTTGGAGATCTTGCGGAGGTTGGAGATGTTGGGGAGGTTGGAGATGTTGCGGAGGTTGGAGGTGTTGTGGAGGTTGGAGATGTTGCAGAGGTTGAGATGTTGGGGAGGTTGGAGATGTTGGGGAGGTTGGAGATGTTGGGGAGGTTGGAGATGTTGGGGAAGTTGGAGATGTTGCGGAGGTTGGAGATGTTGGGAGGTTGGAGATGTTGCGGAGGTTGGAGATGTTGCGGAGGTTGGAGATGTTGGGAGGTTGGAGATGTTGGGGAGGTTGGAGATGTTGGGAGGTTGGAGATGTTGGGGAGGTTGGAGATGTTGGGGAGGTTGGAGATGTTGGGGAGGTTGGAGATGTTGCGGAGGTTGGAGATGTTGCGGAGGTTGGAGATGTTGGGGAGGTTGGAGATGTTGCGGAGGTTGGAGATGTTGCGGAGGTTGGAGATGTTGCGGAGGTTGGAGATGTTGGGGAGGTTGGAGATGTTGGGGAGGTTGGAGATGTTGCGGAGGTTGGAGATGTTGCGGAGGTTGGAGATGTTGGGGAGGTTGGAGATGTTGGGGAGGTTGGAGATGTTGCGGAGGTTGGAGATGTTGCGGAGGTGAACTCTACAAGATTTGGAGAGTGATTGGATTTAGGGCTGAAAGGACAGATGGGAGTCTAGGATTACACCTAGTACCCTGACATGAGGGGAGGGACTGATCGTTGTGTTATTGATCTTGATGGAGAAGTCGGGGGAGGGGGCACGGGCTGGGGGGAGTACTAGGAGCTCCGTTTTAGAAAGATTGAGTTTGAGGAGATGAGTGGCCTCCATGCTTCCAGTATGAGATGCAGCTGACTTTTCTACGAGTGTGCCCTGCTGGAGGAAGGAGCCACCACTGGCTTCAAAGGGATCACTAGAGGTGCTAACTAGAAAGCACAGCATGTGTAAGAGGTAACGATTCACCGACTTTGCAGAGTCCTGTCCAAATAATCGATCTGTGGAATGTATGCTGTAGCACAGATTTAGCACAAAGCTCCTCCCCTTTCTCTACTGTCTGCTGCTCTTTTTGGTTTTATGATTGGTCAATGCAATGGATGTCCTTATGGAGTGAACCATCCAATCATAAAAAATGGGCGAGACCGGAAGCTGAGAATACCGGGTCAGAACCTTCCACCTAAAGGAACCGCTGATCCCTCTGCTTATGTTCCAGACATCCAAAACTAGAGCAAATGCAGGTAAACTGGGCTAAAGGGGTTGTAAAGGCTCAAAGGTTCTCTATGCATGAAGGAAACCCCCCCCCCCCCCCGCATACTTACCTGAGCCCTATCTTGCTCCAGCAATGTGCACAAGGGCCTCAGCTTCCCTGGGTCTCTCCCTCCTCATTGGCTGAGACAGCAGTGGGAGCCATTGGCTCTAATTACTGTCCATCACAGCCAGTGAGCCAATGAGAGCGTGGGTGGGGCCAAGCCACCAAGCTGTGTGAAATGACATACAGGGCAGCCGCTCGGGAGCGAGACTGCTAGGCTGCCCCCACAGCATGCTGCTTGCTGTGGACAGAGGGGCCAGGAGCGCTAGCTGGGGACCCAAGAATACGGTCAGGGCTGCTCTGTGAAAAAACCATTACAGAACAGGTCACTACAGACATGTTTGTTATTTTAAAAAAAAATCACTTTAAAGTGTTATCTAAACCCAAAACAAAAATGTAATGTATTGGAGATTGCCAGCCTTAGATGTGGCAGCTGCATTAGGGGCTGCTAAGGATTAGGGGGACGCCATACTGTTTTTTTTTTTAATGTCAGTCCTGCTGCAGAAGGTTGTATACATTGTACAGATGTGTGCCACTTTGCCCCCCCCCCCCCAATGATAAATGATATTTAAAGGAATTTTTATTTTTTTAATTTGAGTGCTGATAAATGATTGCCTCTTTAAAAACGGTACTTTTTAAAAAAAAACATTTTTTTCAATGATTCATGTCCCTCAGGGCAGTCCCAGAGTCCCCATACCCCTTTTATGGCCAATAGCTTGCAGAGAAGCCTTCATAATGGGCACTTTTGAATTTACAAGTTCGAGTCCCATAGACTTGCATTGAGTTCCAAGTTCCCGGTCAAATTTCATGAGGTTTGAACCAAACACAGGGGTGTTCAGACCATCACTATCAGTATACAGGAGGCAGAAGAGCTTACAATCTATTAGGGTATAAGGAGGATACAGGAGGTAGAAGAGCTTACAATCTATTAGGATATAAGGGGGGATACAGGAGGTAGAAGAGCTGACAATCTATTAGGATATAAGGGGGATACAGGAGGTAGAAGAGCTTACAATCTATTAGGGTATACAGGAGGATACAGAAGGTAGAAGAGCTTACAATCTATTGGGGTATACAGGAGGATACAGAAGGTAGAAGAGCTTACAATCTATTGGGGTATACGGGAGGATACAGGAGGCAGAAGAGCTTACAATCTATTGGGGTATAATAGAGAATTTTGGGGTTTTGTGCTGCCGGACTTGCAGCCGGGCTTCTCTGTCTTCAGCTGCTGCCAGCGCCGGAGAAGAAGCCCACAGCAGGGATAAATTGCAGAACAAAACGTTGGGCGATAGGGATTAAACACCCCTGAACTGTGTTCCTGCGAAACGCAAAATGCTTAAAAAAACGCACAAGTGTGAACCTGGCCTTAGGGTATAGGGGAGGATATGGAGGTAGAAGAGCTTACGATCTAGTGGAGGAAATCGATACAGAAAGAACGTCCAGGATTCTATTAGGGTGTAAAGGGACAACACACATGGGGGTTAATAGCTGGCAGGTCTATGGGGGGGGGGGATGCAGGAGGCGGGAGAAGTCAATCATTGATGGAAATAAAATAATAATAGTTCATAATATTGGTATACATTGGGGAGGAGATGACATTCTGATAAAAAGAAAAACTCATCTGCCTGTTTGAGGATTGGTGGGGGGGGGGGGGGGGGGGTGTCTGGTGTTAATCTGGATCCCCCCCCAGGTTTATCCCCTCCAACGGTATGTATTACCTGTCACTCAGATCCCAGTACTGCCAATGGCTCGGTCTGCTCTTCTCTGCAGAGGGACTTCTTACCCCCCCACAGAACTTGAACGGGTCTCCGCACACCGCCAGAGGGACTTCTTACAGAACGTAGTCCCGCACACCGCCAGAGGGACTTCTTACAGAACGTGTCCCGCACACGTCACACCGCCAGAGGGACTTCTTACAGAACGTGTCCCGCACACACCGCCAGAGGGACTTCTTACAGAACGTGTCCCGCACACCGCCAGAGGGAAACTTCTTACAGAACGTGTCCCGTCCCCGCACACCGCCAGAGGGACTTCTTACAGAACGTGTCCCGCACACCGCCAGAGGACTTCTTAACAGAACGTGTCTCCCGCCACACACGCGCAGAGGGACTTCTTACAGAACGTGTCCCGCAACACCGCCACGCCAGAGGGACTTCTTACAGAACGTGTCCCGCACACCGCCAGAGGGACTTCTTACAGAACGTGTCCCCGCACACCGCCAGAGGGACTTCTTACAGAACGTGTGTCCCGCACAACCCTCCAGAGGGCTTCTTACAGAACGTGTCCCGCACACCGCCAGAGCGACTTCTTACAGAACGTGTCCCGCACACCGCCAGAGGGACTTCCTTTACAGAAACGTGTCCCCGCACACACACAGGCCGCCAGAGGGACTTCCTTTCTTACAGAACGTGTCCCGCACACGACACGCCAGAGGGACTTCTTACAGAACGTGTCCCGTACACCGCCAAGGGGACTTCTTACAGAACGTGTCCCCGCACACCGCCAGAGGGACTTCTTACAGAACGTTGTCCCGCACACCGCCAGAAAAGGGACTTCTTACAGAACGTGTCCCGCACACCGCCAAGGGGACTTCTTACAGAACGTGTCCCGGCACTACACCGCCAGAGGGACTTCTTACAGAACGTGTCCCGCACACCGCCAAGAGGACTTCTTACAGAACGTGTCCCGCACACACCGCCAGAGGGACTTCTTACAGAACGTGTCCCGCACACCACACTCTCCCGGCAGTAGTCCTCTGTCAAGGGTTACACCGCCAGGAGCAGTAGAAGGAATAATCAGACAGACGGGACATTCCAGGAACTTTCCCCAGATCAACAGACGTCATCTCTGCCAGGAGAAGAAACGAAACTGAAACTCAGACTACAGGCGAGCCGAGCCTCGTAATAATACAGAGAAGACTTTACAGGAGAAATACAGACATACTTCACCCCAACAGCATATCATCCAAAAAAATGAGTCGTTGGCCGAACACCCCCCACCCCCCCCCTCCCGTGTCCAGTTCAGAGTCGAACATTCGAACCTAATGAAAGTTTGAACTCGATGCAAGTCTTTAAGACTGGAAATTGCAAATTCAAAAAGTTCCCATTTTGAAGGATTACATGCAAGATATTGGCCGTAAAGGGTATGGGGGCTCAGGGACGGCCCTGAGGGACAGGAATTAGGGGGAAAATCTTGTTTTTCACAAAGTGCCATTTTTAAAGGGGCATTCATATTTCATTGTTTGAAGTAAAAAAACAGAAAAATGAAACATTCCTGTTAATATCATGCCTGGGGGGGTCCAGAAATGACCTGCAAAGTTGCACATCTGTACAATGTATAGAAACTGCTGCAGCAGGACTGACTTTTTTTTTTAAAATGACATTTATATTAACAAAAAAAATCCCATTCCACATGCCCTCCGCCTCTTCCCCCACAACCCTGGCCTGGTAATTTGTGGGGGTCTCCAGGCAGTTACTCTTAATCAGTGCAGGAATTGGCACTGCTCTAAAAAATATGAACTCCATGTATAATACATAAGGGGGGGATATGATCACCATGTATAATACATAAGGGGGGGATATGATCTCCATGTATAATACATAAGGGGGGATATGATCTCCATGTATAAATACATAATGGGGGGGGTGATATGATCTCCATGTATAATACATAAGGGGGGGATATG